ACTCAGGGAAGTTCAGGGAGGCAGGCTGAGGAATATCATTAGGGATAGATCAAGAGCTGAAACCTTGGTCTCTTCTCCCAGCCTGAAAATGTTTCCGCTGGAAAAGGCTACATTCTATCAGCGTCTCATTGCCTGTAACCAATTACCTATCCTCAAGGTACAGCAATCAGGTATACCAATTATGAAGGCAAGACAAAAGGCTGGATTGGTAGTTTTCGAATGTGTAACTAAAGAAAAAATTCTTAGTCTAGAATTACTATCCAACAGATGAATCCACATGGATTTAAATTTCTTTAACCATTACAAGCTAAAAGATACAAAGAAAATCTCTTTTGAATGGATAATTTCCAAAACTTAAAAGTCTGAAAATTTTTTCTAAACAGTCTTCTAAATAAAATTAAAAATTTTTAGGATAATATGAATCCCAGTGGCTGTCTCTATTGGAATGTACAGGACTTTTTCTTCTTTTTCTTCATGAAAGCCTTTTCTATATTGAAATAGTTTTATGTAAGAAATGTCTCATCAAACATTACGCTGTGAGGACATCATTTCAGTGTGGAGAAAGTGATAAGTGGTACAGCTGTGGCTTTCGAAGTTTTGTAGAAATGATAATTCTGTGGCTTAAGCTCACCTTTTCCCAGGCACCCACTTCCAAGACTCCTGGATTTAGTTTCACTGACTCAGTAAGTTTAGAGACCAAAGCCTGGGTCTCTGCTCTATTAAACTGCAAGCTCCCTATGCGATTCCGAGATAAGGACTCTTGAGACCCTTTCATGAGAAGGCTGGAGAGTGTGAGACTTAAAACAGCAAAACTATCTTTACTACAGGGATTTCAACAACAAAGACCTTCCTGATAGCTATGAGAGTTAATAACAATGCAGCCTTGTTTACGTCCAGTTTTGCTCCAGGATGCTAGCTGCTTTTTATCTCTCAGCTTTCCTTAACACAGCACTTCCGGCCTGTTCTTACAGTCTTTATCACCTCTATCACCCACAGCTATTAATCCTGAAAGAGTACACACTCTGCAACTGTGTTGCTTAAACAGCATTTTTTTTTTTAACGCTGTTATCACTTTAAAAAATAGCAGTCAGCCCAAGATAAATCAAGTTCTTAATTACTCAGTTGCTTAACATACAGTCTATATATTAGAAATCACTTCAGGCAGAGAAATCACTTCAGGTCTACACCAGAAGACCTAAAATGCCTTTCAGTGTTTTAGCATATATATTAATTTCATAGATTTTTCTGCTCTCTCTCTTTACTCATCTCCCTGTGTTTCCTTACCTTGACAATTCTCTTTGCATTTGGTAAAGGATAATTTTCAAAAAAATTAAATCATGACTCTTACACAGATATAAAAGTAAAAGCTAAACCCGTTTTGAAGATTTTATTTAATGTTTAACCTTACTAATGAGGGGGCTTCCCTGGTGGCTTGGCTGGTAAAGAATCTTCCTGCAATGCAGGAGACCTAGATTCGATCCCTGGGTTTGGAAGATCGCTTGGAGATGGGAACAGCTCCCCACTCCAATATTCTGGCCTGGAGAATTCCATGGATGTATAGTCCATAGGGTCGCAAAGAGTTGGACACAACTGAGCGACTTTCACTTTCACTTTACTAATGAGGAAACTGGTAAGATGTAATAGCCAGTTGTAAGAAGTTTCAAAGAACGGACATATCTCTACATCAGAAATAATGAAATAACTGTGCCAGAGGAGGCAAAACCAGCTGCTTTCACAGCAGAGGAACCCAGACAGCCTCTGGCAGGTAGAATTTGCCGGCCTGTAGACAGGAATTATTTGTTGTAAAGAAACAATGGCTTGCTTGCTAAGCAAAGCAAATAACAACTACAACAAAAAAGTAAGTCTGTGTTAAAGGATAATTTAATATAAATATGTCTTATAAGTTAGAGATAGTGGACTTCTCTGGAGAAATTCAAATCTTGTCTCCTCCAGATTTGCTTGCCTACCTTCTAAGAGTGATAAACACCCAAGGACTTGCCCGCCTTCTCCTTAGAGGAGATTTGTTGCATTCCAGAGTCCTCTCTCACTCTTAGGAGGGATGGAGGTGTGCCAGCCATCCTCTGTAAGCTCCAAGTCTCATATTTTGGGGGTCCCTCTCTCATGGTGCAACTCTAGTGGGCACATAGAAGGCAAGATAACTTGCTAGCTTGCAAGTGGGAGGTCTCATACCCTTCACAGTTTCAGCCTTAGCATTATTTTGCAGTTGCATCAGATGTCTACTATTTCCAAAGTTTGAAAGCAGCTAAAAGGCAGTGAAAGTCTCAGAGCCACCAGAGAATCACACAGATCACCTGGAAGACTGTGCTCTAGTCTGGGCATTGCTTTGGTTCTATTCGCTCATTCACTTATCCCTTCAGTAACGAGTTATCTTTTTCTGCAGGTTGTGCCCAGCCACACACTAGAGGTGCTATGCCTAGCAAATTAGAATCTATCGTTCTTCTAGTAGAGCTTACAGACCAGTGGGAAAAACCAATTTAATAAATCACAGAACACTGAATTACACATAATGAAGTCTTTGTCTTTTATAGTTGTAATTTCTAAACAGGTATTTGTAGAAACATTGGATACCATGATCATGTCCAAAAGAACAGTATAACAGTTTGCAGAGATTCCTCTGTTAGTAAAACGCATGAGAACTGGAGCCTGGGTGTTGGGCCCTAATGTCCATCGTCCAGAATCCACTGTGATGCTTTCATTGTCTCTCCTTTGCCCTGGACATCTCAATTACTGATAAGTGCAGCATCCGCATAGCTTCATCTTTGCAGCACTTTTTATTGAAAGTGAACTCACTTGCAGAAACTATCATAATATGGAAATTTTAGAATTTCAAAAGGAGACATTTCTCTGAGCTGCCCTTTAGCAGCCGACATGCACTGTGGCCTTGGATTTCTTACAACACCTTAAGAGACCTTGAAAGAACACTATGTGTTCGTCATGACCCAGAGGATGCTAAACGATAGGGAAGTCCCTCTAAGGGTGACCCGAAAGACAAAGAGACAAAGACTTCAAGTGGGTTTATTGTCCAGCTCTTTTGACCGCTACTCAGCCAGAGATGAGCTGCTTCACCCATGCCATTGATTCCCTACAAGAAAGGATGAATGGTTCCGCTGAATAATAAAAGCAGAGTCCAGCAGAGGCTAGGTTAACAGATTTGCCCGGACAATAATCTTAAATTTCTAATAGCCAAGACTGTGTGGCTAAAAGGATAGAATTTCAGACTTAATATATTGCTTCCTATATTCTCCCCCTGCCCACCTTTTTTTTTTTTTTCAAATTTGGAAATAGAGGCTCAGATTTCAGCTGACTTTTCTTAAGAGTGCAGACCCATGCCAGATACACAAATTCAGGTCTCCTAGTGATCTTCTTGCTGTCCTGCTGTCTGGCCAACCATAATTAATTTCATTAGCTTGTATATCATGTCCTCTTTGAGGAAAACAATTTACTGATCAGGCTCTTCAGTCAGCTGAAATTCAAGGTGGAAACAAAAGCAATGGTTTTATTGCTATAAAAGGCTATGGTTTCAGAGAAAAATTATGTTCTACTCATGGAAGAGAATAAGGCTGTCAAATTTGCCTCCTGTCTCATTTATTTAACAGGCCTCTCTATTCAAAATTCTGATGACCAGGAGAGGGGTGGGAGTGGAATTTCTTGTTTTGATTGTGTTGATCCATGTGAATGTATTCGCTAAAAACCAGGGGGCTGGGTATCTCTACCAACTGTTTTCCTCCAATTTAGACTCTTCCTCTGTAATACTGAAGAGTTATGTGACTTAACGGCACATTTATAGCAGAGTTTTGACAACTTCCAATCTGTTTCTCACCTATTAAATCAGAGGCCTTTTGATTAATGTGTTCTTAGGCCTGCGTACATCACGGTACATATAATAGGAAGTTGATTGCTGGGAAAGTTGAAAGACAGATACAATATGTCTATCTTCTGTTACAACCCTTGTAAGGTTTTTATTTCATCTAAATAATTTTGGTAATCAGTGTGATGGAAATGTTTACAGACTATCAGGTACCAGTAGTGATAGCTCTCGCACATATGCAGAGATGTTTTATTTTTCTTGTGAGTCGAGATGTTGATTCTGTGTCACGTATTCAGAAGCATGACTTGCTCTTGCACTGCATAACTGCGCAGATCACATGAGACCAGAATGGGTATTTCACGTTTGATCTTAAAAGAAATAGGTGTAATTCTGGTGTAATTTCCCAACATCTGTGTCCTATGAATATGTATTGATGTGTATGTGTTTGTGTATGTGGATTAATCATATTACATATAGTTTTGTATCCTGTATTCCCCACTTAAATATTCTGTACATTTTCCCATATTATTAAAAAAAAATTCTCCGAAGCTTGATTTGAAAAGGAAATAGATGTACACTCATAATTAAAAGTTGTCTGAAGGGAGATATATGGGCCATAAAAAGTTGACTTTCTTTTTGCTGGCAGCATGGATGATTTCCAAGAATGGATAGATCATTGCTTATGTTATGTAATTTAAAATATTTTACAGATTCAAAGATGCATTTTTTCATACTTTAACATCTCTGAATTCAGGATGTATCAACAATCAGCAATGTTTTACAGTTATAATAGGCAGCATTATACTTTTCTTTCTTAAACAAAATTAATAACGTATCTTTTAAAAGTAGAATATCAGATTTGATGAAATGTACAAATTTAATAGTTTTCTTAATATTTTTACCATGAATACTTTCTGGCTGAATTATGTGAAAAAGTAGAATAAAAACACTGCAAATGCATGGCAATCATATAAACTTCAGGGAAAAGAATCATTTTACTATAATTTAAAAACTTTAAGAATCCATTTGTGTTGATTCTACCTCTCAGAGAGGTTTGATGACTAGAAAAGTCTGACTCAGATAAAAGGTGATTTTGATTTTCTTTATTTATTTTAACTTTTGCAGACTAGTGATGGTCTCCTCTCTTTCTTCCCCCATTTCTGCATCCAAGAAACTGCGTGGACCATCCTACGGCACAATGGCTCTGACGTCACAAGAGTCCGAAATACCAGCCCAGAGCACCCCTACACTGGGCTTTTCGAGTATGTGGCCAGCATGGAGCAACTCCAGGCCACCATCAACCGCGCAGACCACTGTGAGCAGGAGCTGACCTACTACTGCAAGAAGTCACGGCTCGTCAGCAAGGCAGGTAAGCGAGCTGGGGCCTCCGTCCCCCTCCCCGCGGGGCGCCCCCTGCACCAGCTCCTGCAGGGTGTAATTCTGCCACGGTGGTGGCTGAGAGCCGCCCAGGGCCTGTGCTCCCCAAGCGCTGAGCAAGCCCGTCACAGTCGAGAAGTCACGGAGACACTATCTGAAGAAAAGAGCAAGGTCAGCTACCCTGAGCTTTGCTCACAGCCTGGTTGTCTCTGGAGTCTCTCCTGGCCTCAGTCGGAGGCCTGCACGGCACAGGCCTCCTTCTCCTACTGGGTGAATGCGCAGTGTGGAGCCCTCCTAAAGGGCAAGCGGCACGTTAGTTTGTGTTTATCATGGGAAAGAGCTAATAAAAATATGACGCCGTTTTGTGAAAGTGACTCTTCTGTGTGACTCTGCCACGGACTGTTGACAAGTTACCCTCTGGGTATAACTGAAAATTAGAGCAGCCTGCTGGAAACACGGCTTTTTTTCCAGCAGCTCAAATAGGAGTCAGAAAACCATGTTTAACCCTTTCTCTTATTCTATCTTTAATAACCAGTCTGCTCCTAAATCCCAATTCTACTCTGTGTTTTCTCCCGTAAGAACGTCTCATGATGTGAGACTGTCTCGAGTCCCTCCAGGTCTGCCTCTGTGTAAGCTTTAATGACCTGATACATGAAGCTATTGCAAGACCTTTCCTCCTTGCCTCTCAACTGGCCCTCAATCCTTATCTCCTACCCACCCAACATAGCATCCAAAAGATTACTCTGTGAAGGAAACTAACCTTTAAGAGACACTGCTTCCATCAGGACCCTGTACCGCTTAAGCGGCTCTGACGGCCTCCTCGCTCCTCCGTCCAACACAGACTCTTCTGTCGAGACACCTCCAGGCCTCCAGGTGGCGGGTGGGGTAACACATAAAGTGAAATGAAGTGAGCTTCACCGGTGGCTCAGACGGTAAAGCGTCTGCCTGCAGTGCAGGAGACCCGGGTTTGATCCCTGGGTTGGGAAGATCCCCTGGAGAAGGAAATGGCAGCCCACTCCAGTACTCTCACCTGGAGAATCCCATGGACTGAGGAGCCTGGTAGGCTACAGTCCATGGGGTCGCAGAGAGTCGGACATGACTTAGCGACTTCACTTCACTCCACTTCACTCACTTCTTTCCAGCTCTCCAGTGCATCATGCTTACAGTGATCCTACCAGTTTAGTATGCGACTGATGGTTTATTGCTAGTGAGTATCTATCTTGGAATCTATTTAAAAAAATAGATAAGCAAGTATGGAAGTGTAGTCTAAGAGGAAAATTGAAAGTCACTCAGTTGTGTCTGACTCTTTGTGATCCCATGAACAAAGAATACTGGAGAGGGCAACATTTTCCTCCTCCAGGGGATCTTCCCAACCCAGGAATTGAACGCAGGTCCCCGCATTGCAGGCAGATTCTTTACCAGCTGAGCCACAAGGGAGACCCTTCTAAGAGGAAAGAGAACCATAAATACAGAAGAGTAAATGAATGTGATGAAACAAAATGGAACTAAGTTGCTTGACTAGAGAAGAAAGAAAAGGAAAGACAATCGTCAGAGTCACAAATGAGTCAAACTCTAAAAGAACCAGAAAACAAAATCCCCAAGAACCTTATCGAGCCGAGCCCCGCACGGCAACGAGGGGGTGGCCCTGAGTGTGAAGGGGTTCCCTGCCGTCAGGGCTGGTGGTGCCGCACATCTTGCTCTGAGGCTCCCCAGGTGTTTCAGCCAGGCTTGGGAGCCACTGGCGAAAAGGATAGTCAACTCTAGAAGGCTGTAGAACTGGGGTTGGGGGAAACCATTGAATACACAGATTTTCTTCAGGTTCATGACCCTAGAATCCATATAGAATGGATTTGAGGTGGAAAAGAGGGAACAGTTTGAATTTTGGGGTTGTAATAAGGAATGTATGGGAAAGATCAGGAAGGTGGTGTGAGACAAGTTAAATTTACAGTTTCAAATCTTGAAACTATAGCAGCACCAAGCAATAATGGTGCTGTGATTGTGGATGAATAAAGTGGAAATGTTTGTGAAACATTCCAGCAAGGTATGGGTCCTCCAGCTCAGCACACTGGAAGGGTGGTCAGCATGAACACTCAAACCATTTGCAATTTTATTCATAACTATAGGAGTAGAAGTGATCCACCATCATCCCTGATATTTTATCATTTTAATTTCAAGTTTAAAATTTTCTCATGCTTTTCTTAATTCTTTCTTATATAAATTCTTTAGGACACTTCAGTAAGACTAAAGAAATCAGAGGTATTTGGTATCTTTAAAACATTCAGTGGTTTCTACTTCAGAGGGAAGATAGCAAATTTAGATGTGAAAATACTATTCAGTATTTAAGAATAATGATTTATTTTTTAAAAATCTATAACCACATAATGTTTTAAGCAGTATGTCGAAATAGATCTATTAAATGTTTCAAGTAGGTTTTGCCTTCAGTTGATGAGATAATCATTCAGTTAAAGAGAATAAAGGCTGTTGATATTGAGTAGTACATTAACACAAGCCTCCAACAGCTCCTTGACTTCTTGGCATAGTGCACAGGAATGTATAGTAATGCTGAGTCAGAAGTTATCTGCATTAGCACAGATCCAATGTAATAATAAGATTTTATGAGCACTGGCATTTGTAAGGGAGAAATTGGTACAAGTAAGGCTAATGGCCACAACTTGAAAGGTTTGAAAGTCAATGGAAAAATGATCGCACACCTTTGAGGAGCCAACTGATTTGATGTCGCCTCCTTCTCTCGCCCTGACTCTCCAGTGCCTGTGATTTTTCCCCTCTAGCTTGTTTTTCCCCTAAGACAGATTGCCTGCAGACCATATCTAAATGTTCCGTCTATTCGTTGCTCTAGCTTCTTGACATCATTTTAGTCTTAGCTCTGTGAAGGAGCTGGTAACTGAACATTCATCATAGAAAGAAATGCATTTGGTTGAGGGAAACTTTGTTTTTGAGTGTCGTATTTGCTTTGGGCATAAAGATCTTTCAGTGTTATTTCTGTAGTCTCTGAAGAAGTAGCCAAGCCAGTAAACAGAAGAAAAAATATACACTTTGGAATATATCTTGAATCATAGTGAGGGAGTGCCATACCATGCCTAAACAGCGAGTTTATCTTTAGTCGATAAGGATATTGATATAAATCACTGACTTTACACAGCATTTCATAATGTTCTAATAGGCATTTTATGTTCTCAAATCAATTTTGTTTCTCATATGTTAATTACTGTGGATTATAATTTGTTGCCTTCTTGTTTCAAAAAATTATTTTTAAGGAAATGGCATGTGTGAACTCACAATATGTTTTATTTTTTACTATTATGCCTGAATTAAATAGAAACTGCTGGTTTCTTTTCTACTCAAAGAAAAATATATCAATCAATTAAGCTTAAATAATGAATTTTTTTTTAAGCTTTCTTAAAATACCATCAGTTATGAAGTTTGGAATTTCACTGCATCAAACCAGTCTTTTCTCCTTTCATTCTTTTTAATGATTTGGTAAGGAAGGGAATTATACTGGGATGGAAGGTCACAGGTTATAAAGCAGATGTCATTTTTCTCACCTTTATTTTTCAGATGGAACCCCTCTGAGCTGGTGGGTTGGAAGAACCAATGAAACACAAACTTACTGGGGAGGTTCTTTGCCTGATCCTCAAAAATGTACTTGTGGATTGGAGGGGAACTGCGTTGATTCTCAGTATTACTGCAACTGTGATGCTGACCGGAATGAATGGTGATTTTTATGATTTCCTTATGCAAAATCAAGTTTATTATTAATTTTTTTAAATGAATCACTGCCACATATATAGGTAGGTAGATACTGAAAAACTTAGTACAGTGAAGAAATTAGATAAAGGTATGTTTTGATGAAATGTATTACAACTAATCTGATTTCTAGATGGGAAGATCATGATCTTTTTATTTGAATTTTGTGGTAATAAAGCAAGGGTCATGCACCTTTTATTTTTGTAATATGATGAAACAGAAGCATCTGTTTCCTGCTTGCTTTTCATTTTGAGTCAATTATCATTATCTTTGAAATTAAGTATAATTAAGTATTATATTCTCAAAACATAGTTACATAAATAAATTAAAATTTACATAAATTATATTTAAATAAATATATTTAGTTACTAACATATCTCTTCAGTAGTCTTGCCTATAAACCTTTAAATATGTAAGCTTAGACTTTCCCACAATTACTTAAACATGTAGCCCTTTTATTTTCTTAAAGGATGCACTATACTATGAAAAACTGATATTCTGTTTATCATCTTTTGAAAAAGGAAATCTATAATATTTAGATTTTATATTGAACATGAAATGTTTTATTTATTCATTTGACATTACATTTATTCATTTGAAAAATATCAAAGACTGTGTTATATCAAAAGGCAGATTATTTTATGCCTCTAAAAGAGGCATCTGTATGGAGAAATTATTGTACTTTTATTGTTATGTGTTCAGCATGAAGAACATTGTCTCTCTTACTTAAAGTCCAGTTTCTCAAAATTTCTACTATTTTTGGAAGATACATTTTTCTTCTCGCTGCCTTCACATACACACACACACACCCCCACACAGATGCCCACAGTGTATTTTAAAATGTGAATAAAAAAATTTTTTTTAATTAATCTAATCACCAATAGGCTTCCCAGGTGGCTCAGTGGTAGAGAATCTACCTGCCAATGCAGAAGGTGTGGGTTCAGTCCTAGGGTCAGGAAGATTGCCTGGAGAAGGAAATGGCAGTCCACTCCAGCATTCTTGCCTGGGAAAACCCATGGACAGAGGAGCCTGGCGGGCTGCAGTCCAGGGGTCACTAAAGAATCAGACATGACGCAGCAACTAAACAGCAACATCAGTCACCAATAACTCTCCTATCTCTGCGTGACATTTTATTCATCAAAAATAATTTTTAAAAATAAGATTTTGATACTTTTCATATTAAATTCTGCTTATGCTTAAGTAGCTTGTGTAGAACTAACCTAATCCCAAATAACATTTATAATCCCAGGAATACTATTTATTAAAAACACCTACTTGAAGCAAGGAGAGATAAGAAAGCCTTCCTCAGCCATCAATGCAAAGAAATAGAGAAAAAACAATAGAATGGGAAAGACTAGAGGTCTCTTCAAGAAAATTAGAGATACCAAGGGAATATTTCATGCAAAGATGGGTTCGATAAAGGACAGAAATGATATGGACCTAACAGAAGCAGAAGGTATTAAGAAGAGGTGGCAAGAATACACAGAAGAACTGTACAAAAAAGATCTTCACGACCCAGATAACCACGATGGTGTGATCACTCACCTAGAGCCAGACATCCTGGAATGTGAAGTCAAGTGGGCCTTAGAAAGCATCACTACAAACAAAGCTAGTGGAGGTGATGGAATTCCAGTTGAGCTATTTCAAATCCTAAAAGATGATGCTGTGAAAGTGTTGCACTAAATATGCCAGCAAATTTGGAAAACTCAGCAGTGGCCACAGGACTGGAAAAGGTCAGTTTTCATTCCAATCCTTAAGAAAGGCAATGCCAAAAATGCTCAAACTACCACACAATTGCACTCATCTCACATGCTAGTAAAGTAATGTTCAAAATTCTCCAGGCTAGGCTTCAGCAATACGTGAACCTTGAACTTCCAGGTGTTCAAGCTGGTTTTAGAAAAGGCAGAGGAACAAGAGATCAAATTGCCAACATCTGCTGGATCATCAAAAAAGCAAGAGATTTCCAGAAAAACATCTATTTCTGCTTTCTGCTTTATTGACTATGCCAAAGTTTTGACTGTGTGAATCACAATAAACTGTGGAAAATTCTGAAAGAGATGGGAATTCCAGGCCACCTGACCTGCCTCCTGAGAAACTTGTATGCAGGTCAGGAAGCAACAGTTAGAACTGGACATGGAACAATAGACTGGTTCCAAATAGGAAGAGGAGTATGTCAAGGCTGTATATTGTCACCCTGCTTATTTAACTTCTATGCAGAGTACCTCTTGAGAAACGCTGGACTGGAAGAAGCACAAGCTGAAATCAAGATTGCTGGGCGAAATATCAATAACCTCAGATATGCAGATGACACCACCCTTATGGCAGAAAGTGAAGAATTAAAGAGCCTCTTGATGAAAGTGAAATAGGAGAGTGAAAAAGTTGGCTTAAAGCTCAACATTGAGAAGACTAAGATCATGGCATCTGGTCCCATCACTTCATGGAAAATAGATGGGGAAACAGTGGCTGACATTATTTTGGGGGTATCCAAAATTACTGCAGATAGTGATTGTAGCCATGAAATTAAAAGACGCTTACTCCTTGGAAGGAAAGTTATGACCAACCTACACAGCATATTAAAAAGCAGAGACGTTACTTTGCCAACAAAGGTCCATCTAGTCAAAGCTGTGGTTTTTCCAGTGGCCATGTATGGATGTGAGAGTTGGACTATAAAGAAAGCTGAGTGCTGGAGAATTGATGCATTTGAACTGTGGTGTTGGAGAAGACTCTTGAGAGTCCCTTGGACTGCAAGGAGATCCAACCAGTCCATCCTAAAGGAAATCAGTCCTGAATATTCATTGGAAGGACTGATGCTGAAGCTGAAACTCCAATACTTTGGCCACCTGATGCAGAGAGCTGACTCATTTGAAAAGACCCTGATGCTGGGAAAGATTGAAGGCGAGCAGAGAAGGGGATGACAGAGGATGAGATGGTTGGATGTCATCACCGACTCGATGGACATGGGTTTGGGTAGACTCCGGGAGTTGGTGATGGACACAGAGGCCTGGTGTGCTGTGATTCATGGGGTTGCAAAGAGTCAGACACGACTGAGTGACTGAACTGAACTTGAAGTAAGTGGAGAATAACCAAAGGTAGACAAAAACTACCAGGTTGGGAGCCTTCAACCCTTCAAAGTCGGGACTATCAGTGGATGAGATTTATGTTTAGATGCCTTTTCTTTGAAACTACTCACCAGATCACCTGCCATGGGTTGGCTAGAACTCAAAGAGATGACTAGAGTTGGGGTGGGAGGGGGTTGCTGCAGGTATCAGAGGAAGGTTCAGAGCAACCAGAATGACTGGAAATGGATTTCTGGGCAGTTTGGAAAGGAGAAAACCATTTGGGAGGAGACCACTGTATCAGCTCCTCTAGAACCCTGACCTCTGAGCTGCACATTCACAGGGGAGGTTTCTAGGAACCAAGCAGAGAGATGCAGTTGGACCACTGATCCCGTGACATAGGGATTTCAGCAGCAACCGCCAGAGACACCAGATTGGAAGTGCACGTGCCCGTGGTTGACTTGGGCTTTGTAAAGCCCTAGAGATAGAGATGGCACAAGGTCCAGGCCTTTATGGCAAAGACTATGTCCCCAAACTGAGCATGATTGAAAACTACCAGTGAAACTGACCCAGGCCCTCCCCGACAAAGTAACAACAAGCCTCCAGCGTTTATTGCAATAAGGTTGTGATTTTAACTACTTGTAAAAACAAAAACCAAGCCTTCTGAGAAGGACAGCAGATTCTAGAGTCTCTACAGTGTATCACCCATAATATCCAGAATATTATAGCAATCATTGCTTATTCAAAAAAAAAAAAAAAGCAAACTTTGATCCAAAGTCAAGAAAATAAAAGTACCATCAGAAACAGGTCCTGGGACACTGGTCCTGATTAGCAGGCAAACATATTAAATCAACTCTTAAAAAAATGTATGAAAAATTAAAGGTAAAGATAATCACAAAGGACCCAAGGGTATTCTAAGCAGATAAATGAGAACATTATTAAAGAGGCAAATGTACATTTTAGAATAGAAAAGTGCAACATCTGAGGTTAAATATTCATGGCATAGATTTCAACTCTTATGGGAGTTAGCAAAAGAAATCTTCAGTAAACCTGAAGACAGACCAGTAGAAATCATTCAATCTGAAGAACACAGGAAAAAAAAAAAATTGAAAGAAAAATTGACAGACCCTTTGTGGCTTGTGGGAAAATATCTGTGATTTAACAGGCAAGAAATTGGAGTCCCAGAATGGCAGGAAATAAAATGAGGCAAAAGTATATATCATTTGATGAAACCATGGCTGAAAATCTCTCAAATTTGCTTAATAAACATCTCTGGAAGCAAGGCCCCGAGATGGCCCCCGATTATCCACACTGCCTGTTATTCACACCACTGTGTAATTTCCTTCTCTTGTGTGTTGCATGGACCTTGTGACTTGCTTTTAAAGAATAGCATATGATAAAGTGATGAGATGTCACTTCAGAGACTGAGTTACAAAAGACCATGACTTATGACATGCTTGAAATTCACTCTCTGCATCTCCTAGCCTTCTTGTTTGATTCAGCGGCCTGCCACGTTGTGAGCTGTTGTGGACAAAGAATCGAGGGTCGCCCTCAACCAACAGCTGGTAAATACCCAAGGCTCTCAGTTCAGTGCCCAGAAGAGGTAGAATAGCCAATAGCACAGGAGTGAGCCTTCCCCACCCAAGCACTGAGTTGACTGCAATCCTTGCCAACACTTTGAGTGTAGCCTTGAGAGAGACGCTAAACCAGAGGGTCGTAAAGTAGAATAATCACACATTATATAAAAGGTCTTAAGTCACCACTTTGTTTTAGGGGATAATTTGTTATGCATTAGTATCAACAGATAACTAATACAACTTCAATGATGTTTTGAAAGTAGCCAGTTTGGGTGAATCTGGTGGAACACCTTCCACACAGAGAAATCAGGATGCAAATGAAGGTGACCTCCCATCAGAAGACAATGAAATGACACCTTTCATGGGGAAAGAGGAGGCAGAGTCAACCTAGACTTTTACAGAGGACAAAAATACATTTCACAAATGAAAGTAAAATAAAGTCCTGTTCAGATTAAACAAATGCAGAGAGTATTTGTTGTCAGCAGAACTGTACCGTAAGAAATAGTGATGGAAATTCTTCAGGCTAAACAGACCGTTTAAAACAGATCTTCAGGCGGGAATGAAGGGCACTGGGAATCATGAATAAGTCAGTAAATGGAAAAAGCAGTGTTTAAATTTTTCTCTTGATTAAATAAATTAAAATTCACTATTTAATTGTATTATAAAGTTTGTAGCATCTGGATTTAAAATATATTGCAACCGTGGCATAAAGAACAGGTGTTTGTGTAGGGAAGGGTGTTAAAAATTATCCCATAGTAAGCTTGTGACATTTTAAGTAATACAACATAAAATCTAAGTAGACTGTGATGAATTAAGGATGCATCTTATAATCCATGAAGCAAATATTAAAATAAAATAAGCAGATATGTAGCTAAAGAGTGAAAAAATAAAATTGAATACCAAAAGAAATATGGAGTAAACCAAGAGGAGGCATGATAGAGAGAGCAGAAATACCAGATGTCCTGTGGAGGGAAAAATAAGAAATAAATACCAAAGCGATAGATCTAAAAACGCACTATCAATCATTACATTAAATGGCAATGGGTTAACCACCTCATTGAAAAGGCACAAAATGGCCAACAGAACTTAAAACCGCCAGCTATATTCCGACTGCAAGGAACACTAAAATGCTGCCCTGTCTTTTCATCCTCAGAGGAGCAATTTGATCCTGACTCTGTATGTGTACCCATTTACTCAGAGCATCTTGGCTTTGAAATGCAATAAGGACTATTGTTTCCTTTCTAACTGTGTTAATCAGAGTAATTTAAGGAGCTTGTTGTCGTTGTTGTTACTGTCTTTCAGGACCAACGACACTGGGCTCCTTTCTTATAAAGAACATCTGCCAGTGACTAAGCTTGTGATCACGGACACTGGTCGGCCACATTCAGAAGCAGCTTACAGGCTGGGTCCTCTGCTGTGCCGCGGAGACAGTAAGTGGTGGCGACGTACCCTCAACATGTCTGAGGAAAGAGGTGTCACCTAAGAGCCATGTTGCTACATGATAATTCGTCAGACTTCTCTTTTGAAAACCCATAAGCAGTGTCTGAAATAATCCCCCTAGTCAGTCAACAGAGTGCCCCTGTAGAATGGAAAGCCCTGGAATAAATGCTGTGACAGCAGGCCTTGTTAAGACTCCAAACAAAGAACCCACAAAGCATCTCTGTTTGGCTGGTTCATAAATTCATTCCCTCCTTCCTCAGTATCTACATGCCTTTATCCATATAGGAACACCTCAGTGCTGCATAACATTATTAAGGATGTATGGTGAGTTTTCTACTGTTGGGCCTGGGGTGAAATTAGAACATCAGGAAAATCAAAGTCAGTTTAATCAAACATATTTGAACTTTCATTCTCTCTCTTTTTTTTTTCCCCCAGTTTGTGTGTGTGTTCTTACTCTAAATCAGTGAGACCTGCTCTTTTGTATATTCAATATATGAATACTCTGAACCAGAATTTTTTAATTAAAATATAGTGTCACAGAAAATACATATTTTCAGCAGAGAATGAAATGAGCATATGTGGCCATTTATAACCTCTCTGACGTCAGTTAGGTTCGAGATTGATTCATTATTTTTTTATGCTTTTAGTTACTTCCAGAACTTAACATGCAAATAGAAGAAATATTTATTTACCTTAAAAGTATATCCTGAAATGAAGGTTTATTCCAGAGGCTCAACAGAGAAAGAGTTGATCTGACAATGCGTTGGATTTATGGAGATGCGTAGCGGAAGTTGCTTAACTAAAAAGCAAAGATGATACTGGCTTATAAAAAGGTGTATGTACATTGTAAAAAAAAATGACCCGCCATTATACCTACCATCCCTAATCTTTATCATCTCAACTTCCTGGTCTGCCAGTAGGCCTTACACAGTCACTTGAAGATGACATAGGATATTTCATGGAGGGAAAAGTTATGTGCAAAGAGATGAGGTTGTAAACGCAGGCTGCATCCAGAGAAGTGCAATGATTTTGCGTGACAATGGAGAAATTGTTCTATTCATCACATGCACTCCTCACAGCTGGCTCTGATCTGAACGCTGTAGGGGCTCAGGCCGGCTTCCCCCGGTTACCACCGTCCCTGGGGAATTGTTCTGCTTTGACTGAGGTCACTGCCGACTCAATTCCTTAGGGGTTCTTTCTTGCAGACTTCCCGTCTTGAACACAGCATCTTTTCACTCAGAGCAGAGCTCCTCCATCCCAGGCGACTCGCTCCCTTAGGGGACATTTGGCAATATCTGGAGACGTTTTTGGCTGTTGCAACTGTTGGGGGTTGAGTGTTACTGGATCCAGAGGGAGTGGCCAGGAATGCTGTGAATATCCTACAATGCACAAGACAGCCCTCCACCTCAGAGCGTATCTGGTCCATGACGTGTGTGGCATGAGGCTGAGAAACCAAGCATTCAGCTGTTACGAGAATGGGGGTACAGGGGGAGGCTCACAATATTAGAGCAAGGATTAAAAATAGCGTGTTTGGAGACCTGCGGGTTAACCTCGGACATTAATGTAACAGTCACTGAGTTTTCCCTGGCCTTCCTGTCCACCATGTCTACTTTAGGGTTGGGTCTCATCCTCACATGAGTTCACAGAGCATTTTGTGCATAAAGGACCCTGTCTGAAGAGCAGCAGTGTCAGAGTAATGAATGCCCCCCATTTTCTCTGTGTGGGTAGCCTGCACCCCTGAAGGTACAAAGCCCTAGACACGTTTTTGTTTTTTTTTTCCCTGTCCAAATGAGATAAACGGGGCATATGTAGGGCTTCTAGATACGGGATCATGCAAAGTGGGCCTTATAAGCAGAGGAAAGTTATGTGAAAGTTATCCTGAAGGCATCAGGGTTGGAACACTAATTAGGACTGGGATATTTTAAGACTGAGAACTGGCTTGGTTCTCATGATCCAGGAAAGTGACCTTTGAGTGTAAGACAAGGACAATAATGAAGGCTTGAACTAGGCAATGGTTGGCATGGGGCTTAGATAAGGGGCTCAATCAGGGAGGTAAATTCAATACAATTTGGGGTGAGGGTGGCAGAGTATGAGGATGACCTCCAGGTTTCTGACTTGAGTAAAGCTGGTGGCACCATTTGTTGAGACAGTAAGAATGATTCATTGAGACACAGAATTCTTAGATTTTCTTTGAACAGAAAAATGGAAAGATGAAAAAAAAATAGTATCTTGGTCTTATCACACAAACCAGAGATGTTGAAATTTTCATATCTAGCCATGTTTTTCTAGGAAAGAAAAAACAACCCAGAAGCCTTGAGAAAGCAGGATGAGTAAACAAAAATAAGTGAGACCTACAGGTACCAGATGCTAGCTGGCTCCTAATTCCAAGTCTTTATTTTCATTTTTTAAAATGTGGATGGGTATAAAATTTTGTGTTCCTACTAGTATTATTGTTTAATGTCAGAAGTCACAGATAACATTGTTAGACATTTTACCAAAAGCACAGAAGATATGAATGATAAAGTCCCCTTTTTAAAGTTGTTCTCCAGGTATGAAACTTCATAAATATTGTTGACCTAAAGAATTTGTGAATATGAAAATAAGTTTTTTGAAAAAAATATGTGAAAAGTAAATGGCAGAATTCAACATCCTATTTATAAAAATTAAGGAAACTAGGAACTTAAACTTCCTCAGTATTTTAAAAGACATTTATGAAAATCTAAAAATCTGATGCTTTATCCTGAATTGTCACAGACTTAATGCTTCCTCTCTGAGATCAGGATCTAGACAAAGGTGTCTGTTCTCACCAATCCTATTCAGTGTCATACTATGGGTCCTAGCACACGTAGTAAATAAAGAAGAGGAATTCAAGGCTTATAGATTAGAAAGGAAGAAATAATATGTCTCCATTTATAGATAACATAGTTTTCTAGGTAGAAAATTCCTAAGAATTTTTTTTTAAAGTGAGTTTAGCAAGGTAATAGGATGCAAGTTCAATATTCAAAAACAAATTATGTCTCTATATGCTAGTAATGAAAAATTGAAATTTTAAAAGTACCTTTTATAGCAGAATTAGAATCAATTTGCAAAAACAAAAACAGAAGAATTTCAACCATACTTCAAACTGCATACCAAAAATAATTCAAATTAATCATAAACTTAAATGTAAACCCACAAACTATAAAACTTCTCTAAGAAAATATGGAAGAAAGTCTTAGTGACTTTAGGTTAAGCAAAGATTTTTTAGATACAGCATCAAAAGCATAATCCATAAATTTTTAAATGATAAATTGAGGTTCATCATAATTAAAAACTGCTTTTAAAATGACATTGTTTAAAAAATGGGAAGAGTCACACATGGGGAAAATATGTTTGCAAAGTACATATCTGATAGAGGCTAGGATCCAGAATATGTGAAGAACTTTCTAACAGTGCAATTAAAAAAAATTCAGATTAACAAATGATTTGCACATACATTTTGTTAGATAAAATACACAGATTTCAAAGAAGCACATAAAAAGATTTTCAATATTAGTCATTAGGGAAATGTACTACATTTAACACCAAAATAAGATACCGGTATATAGCTATCAGAATGGCTGACATTGTAAAAATATAATAAAACAAAAAAAGCTGACAATATCAACTGCTGAGAATATAGAGCAGCTGGAATTCCTCATGAATTGCTGGTGCCAAGTGTAAAATGGCACTGTCACTTTGGCAATTTTTTATAAATCTAAACACACATTTACTATAAGATCCAGCAATCCAACTCCTAGGTATTTGCAGAAGAGAAATGAAATATCTGTATGCACAGGTTTATATTGGCTTTATGCAGTCTTCTAAAACTGGAAACCACCCAAATGTCAGTGGTTTAATGAATAAACCAGTGGTTTAATGAATAAGCCAGTGAATAAACATTCCATTTTACTGTGGTGTATCTACGCTGTACCATGGAATATTACTAAACAGTAAAAAGAAATGCACTTCTGATACACACCAGCAACAGAGATGAATCTTCAATGCATGAAGATTGAAGATTCTTCAATACTAACAGAAGCCTGACTTAAAAGGCTATGTGCTGGATCATTTGATTTCTAAGATATTCTGGAAAAAGCAAAATCATAGGAACAGAAAAAAGATCTCTTTTGCCAATTGCTTTAAGGCAAGAGGAATTTTGCAAAAGAGAACAGGTAAAGGAGATGTTCTATATCTTGAGTGTTATGGTAACTTATGTGACTTGAAGCATTTGTCAAAATTCCTAGAGCAATTATACAGCATTACTCAGATTTATTCTATGTAAATTATCCTCAGTACATCTGACTCAAAAAAAAAAAAAAACCCCTAAAAATCACAACCCACAATTGAACATTAATAATAGTACAAATAGTTACTGTTGCTTAATTTTTAAAGACTTTATTTTTAAAATAAATTTACAATGAAATAAAGAGGAAATTACAGAGATTTTTCATTTATTTCCTGTCCTCACACATGTATAACCTGTCCCATTAGCAGCATCACTCACCAAAATGGTACTTTTTTTTAAAGCAAAAATGAAGGTTGCTTAATTTTAAAGTTGGGTCATTAAAAAAATATCAATAGTTAAACTTGTAAGACATAAAAACTAGTATATATTTTAGTAAATGGGTATTCTCCAGGATACTCCTAGGATCCTACTGAATATGTTTCTGACTTTTTCTAACCTTGGAGACAGAGGATCAAAGGAGCAAATCATGGAAAAACATCTGGGTCTACAGTTAAGAGAAAGGTGGTAACTAGGAGGGTTTGTGTAGGTATTTTCCTTTCTGCTCTCCCAGGAGAAGTGGGACCATCTTCACTTGTGGAGTGCCATCATCAGTCTGCCCTCTGAGGCCCTCTCTCAGCGCCTACCGTCTTACTTGGGCTTCTCTTACCTTGGAGGTGAGATGCCTCTTCATGGCTGCTCCAGCAAAGCGCAGCCACCACTCCTTACCTTGGATGTGGGGTAACT